TCATAAGTGAAAGTTAAGTCTGAGTAATGAGGCAATGCAACAGGACGCTTAAATGTAACATAATGATGTTTTAGAATTGCCGTATGGAGAAGTTGTCCAGCAAAAGTTTTCTGTGTATTTGTTTTCCTACGATGCATGCTACATACCCTACGAATCTCATTATCGATGTGATTATCCTAACTTCATATGATGAACAGTATAACTTCTGATGCTCCTCATTAAACAGAGTTTGTCTTCCTTTATCCTGTTACTATCTCTCTGTCTTACGACCGAACATTCTCGTCAGAACTCTGTTCTCGAACATGCTGGGTCTAGTTAGCTAGTTATTTAGAGAGGGTGGGTTTTCCCATGCACCGCGACCAGTTTTGATCTATTGTGCTTCCTTCTATGATATTCTACCAGTCTCTTTACCCTACCGATAAATGGTGCGTACCATCAGTCCCGCCGAGCNATCATGAAGCAGAGTTTTTCTTCCTTTATCCTGTTACTATCTCTCTGTCTTACGACCGAACATCCTCGTCAGAACTCTGTTCTCGAACATGCTGGGTCTAAGTTCTTTCCATTCTCTGAGAGATCAAGTTTCACACCCATACAACTGCGTTATAATTTCGCAGGCCCTATAGTGCACAAGTTCGATACTCTGAGATTTTCCTTGTTTTCCTCAGCCCGTAGAGGTGAACTCGGGTTAGTGCGTGATTCCTTTGTTCTCCACTCCGTCGTTCCTGCATCGCAGTTGATGTATCATTGTTAAATCGTACAAAGGAAGTGGCTCACGTCTTAGCGCAAACTGATCTCGCTCAAGGTCACGGAACTTGTTTCCGTTTGAATTATGGGACTTCTTTTACAGGGACACAGTATACGTATGTGTGACCTTCGGCTTTCGTGTCCCTTCTTAAGGCGCGTCCACATTACTCGTGCTCGCGCTCGTGCTCGCCAGGCTTGTGGTCGTCGGGAGATTCGTCTGGCTTTTACTTGTGCTCGTAAATCGTGGCTGTGTGGGCACTAGTGTGTGTGTGTGTGTGTGTGTGTGTGTGTGTGTAACAATGAACTGTAAAGTGTAGTCACGTGTTGTATCGAAGAGTCCAATAAATCCGTTCATCAATCCAAAACCCCGTCTATAGTCACACTCTATCACGTGACACTATAATTTTTACGCTTTTAGACCGCAGGCTAGAAGACAAAAGGTTCAGGACAGAATGGTAACAAGCATTCAGTCTTCTCTTAATTCTCTTTTCTGAATCAAATTTTGATTTGCTACTGTTGTTCCCAAATATTGAATTGTGCCTCATCTCCAAAGCATCTGTTGGCTATCTTAGTGTAATAATTTGCTATGCATTCTGGCGACGAGACAGCAACATATGCTTAGTTTTCTCTGTGTTTACTTATAGGTCAACCTCCTTACTAGTGTCAATTAAAGTTTCTGTGGTCTTCTTTGTGATATCTATACTGCGTAATGAGTAGCCGAGCGGACTAAGGCATGCACTGCCTTCGCTCGCTCGGAAGCTGGGGTCGTGGGTTCGGATCTGTTTCCTGTGAGGTACGAACTGAATTCTTATATATTATTCTTATACATTGCTGGTCACGGTAGCCGAGCGGTCNGAAGTGAAACGGAGAGATTCATGGAGGTAGGCCTAGGCCCAAATTGGGGCTGTAGCGCCACAGAAAAAAAAATACCGCATAATGAGGAGCTTCGTAACTTGTACTCTTCTCCAAGTATAATTAGGTTGATCAAGTCAAGAAGGATGAGGTTGGCAGGGCATGTAACACAAATGGGGAGAAAATGAATGCTTATAGGATATTGGTGGGAAAGCCAGAAGGAAAGAGACCACTTGGAAGACCAAGGCGTAGGTGGGTGGACAACATTAAAATGGATCTTAGAGAGATAGGATGGGATGATATGGATTGGATTGATCTGGTTCAGGATAGGGACCAGTTGAAGGCTCTTGTGAACACGGTAATGAACCTTCGGGTTCCGTAAAATGCTGTGAAATTCTTGAATAGCTGCAGATTTGGCTTCTCCTCAAGAAGGGCTCAGTTCCGTATGTATGTATGTTATCTCCCAATAGATTCACATCATGAGCATATACCAATAGCTGATGTGTCCCATTTTATTTCAGTCCCATCTGGTTTTCTTGGGCTCTCCTAGTGGCATTTTTATTCTAAAGCGAAGTGAAAGAACAGTGACCATTCAGAATAGAATATTGGATGCCATTTTGTGTGAAATTGATAGCAGTGATATTCCTCGATAATTACTGCAGTCAGCTTTATTGCCCTTCTTGTAAATCGGTACACTAATGGAGTACTTCCGCTGCTAAGGTAATTATTTGTTACTCTAAACAGAATTTTAGATCTCATACCGTAATGTTTCACCTCCCGCTTGAAGCAGTTCTGCCAGAATTTGATCACTACCTGACGATTTACACTTTTCCAACTTTGCAGCAGCAATTTTGAACCCCTAAGAGACTAGGCTCAGGCACTACAGTTCTGTTGTGTGTAAAGTTGTCCCTGTACCTAACTAACTAAACACTATGCCGTGAAGATTATGGAGAGTAGATGTATAGATCCACATTTTCTTGACCTCGACACTAGCTGGAAGTGAGTGGTCAGCTTCACGCTCCGGCTGCTTCATCACAGGGGAAAGAGCCTCAGGTGCACATTGGATATGAGGTTGGGTGAACCCAAGAGCCGGTCTGGGCGACGTGGAGAAAATTCTTGACCCTACCGGGACTCGAACTCTGACACCTCGGTCGTCCAGCCCTCAGTCGCAATACCGACTGAGCTATCCTGGCTGATGCTCAGATGTATGTATTTATATCTCTTATCCTAATATCACCGACCCTTTATGCATTCAATAACTGAGAGAAGCAGTTCTTCCACCTTTTCAAAATGTATGAATCTGCAAGCACATCACCATTCTCATCATTCACCAAGTTAGTTCTAGGTTGGTAACACTTTTTAAATTCTTTATTGCCTGTATAAATCTCCAGTGTTCTTTTTCTTACTGTGTGCTTTAGGTTCAGTAATTCTGTCTTTCACATATTCTCTCATTTTGTTCCTGAAATGTCGACTAGCTTACATTGTTCAGATTTTTTTTCCTTTTCACTACAGCCCCAGTGGGCCTAGGCCTACCTCCATGAAAACCGTTCACTTTTTTTTTCTAGATCTTACACATTCGGTAGGACTCCTTGGGCAGGTGATCAGCTCGTCGCAAGGCCTCTACCTGTACACAAACACAGAAAAACGCACACAAACATCCATGCCCTGAGTGGGATTCGAACCCACGCTCCCGGC